TGTTACTACTAGCTTATTGTTTCTACTAGCTTCTTGTTACTACTAGTAAGGCACTTGTTACTAGTAGTAGGGCCAGGAGCCCCTAGTAGCGAACATTGTTACTAGTATGGATCGTCCGCCAGGCAGGCGTGGCAACTTCGTTCGGTTCGACGCACACCGACCCGTTTGAAACTGTTACAGTCACAGCTTCTCAAGCCGACAGTCCTGCTAGGCACCATGTACTGTGGCAATGTCTTCTGAAGTTCCTGAGGGGAAGTCATTTGTTGCTCAGGCGTGACTCGGGGCTAGTAGTAACAAGTGCATCGCTACTAGTAACAAGTGCCTTACTAGTAAGTAACAAGAAGCTAGTCATTTGTTCTCCATTTACGCATTCCTTTTTTTGCTCAGGCTTTGGCCGCTCGGAGGCTGCTTGGCGACAAGGATTCAGGCGTGACCCAAGCCCAAAGCCCATCCTGTGATCAACTGATTTTTGTGTGGTATGGAATTGGGTTCTTTCCTGAAGCTAAGGATGCTATCAGGAAGGGTGACCATTTGGAGCATATCCCCCTGGAAATAAGTTTGTTTAATGTTTTTCAATGTTTTTCAATGTTGGGGTAAGGAACTGTCCATGGAACATGTTCTGACTGTATTGTGTGCGGTCAGCACTTGCCAGTTCACTGCAGCAATTGGGGCTGAGAACTGCTCTCTTTTCCAAAATGGGACGAGATGATGAAAAAGGTGAAAGAGGTAGGAAGGCCAAGAGGCATGATTAATCAGGGAAGGGTTGACAAATTACCCACTTGCGCTTGACACGTCAAGAGAGGTCTTGTTCTTCCCACTTGCATGATTAAACTTGAGCCGAATTTGAATTAAAGGAAGGGGAACACTTCAGCTCAGGTTGTGTTGTGACCACAGTTTGGATACATTGTGTGTCTGGACCTAACTTGGCCTTGTTGCATTTTTGTGGCCTTAGTGTGCGACGACGGCTGTGCCCGAAAATTGTTGTTACCGTTGGTGGATCGGCGATTGTGTCGGGGAAGTGGCTGACTGAGCAATCTGTGAGGCTCCGAATAGCGCCCCTGCTAGTAACGATGCCAGGAGCCACTAATAGCGTCCTTCTTCCTAGCCGTCTTGAAGAGATCAGAGCGCCGCTGGGCCGCTGTGCGAGAAGCAGTCCGCTTTGAAAGCACTTGTCGGTGTCTAACGGGAGCTTCCCATCGGAGACAGCCGGCCAAGACAGCCCATCCGGAACCCGAAGCGTCGGTCGAGTCTGGATCCGAACGCTTTGCACCAGAGAAAGGCGCTATGCCTTTCTGATACACCTCATCTTGCGCCACGTGTTGCGGGTCGCGGCAGGTTTGGAAACACCAGCCTCCAGAGATTCTTTCTCAACCGTGTCATTTGGTCACCCAGACCAGCATTGCCATGGACACAGCATTGTTCTTTTATTGAACAAGTTGAGTGGCTGATGGCACATTCAAACAGTAAAGCTTCGGCGCGTGATCCTTGGCAATGTTAAGCCCCACTGCCACGGCCTCAAAGGTTTGTCGTAAAGCAATGGACACAATGAGGATTTTGCTTTCTTATCTTTCTTCAAAGAAAAGGTTATCTTGCTCCTAGTATCGATGCCAGGAGCCCCTAGTAGCTTGCTCCTAGTAGCTTCTAGCTACTGAGAATAGGGATTTTGTTTTCCAAATTGCGATAAGCTCCCATGTCTTTCTGCCTGCGCGCCCAGGGCCCCCAAGGCCGCCTCCACCTCTGTCAGCTCCTGTGTCAGCGCAATTTCGAGAAAAAGGAAGCACAACTATTCTTGTATGTCAAAACTTAAAAAACGAACTACTTTCGAGCAAAACGTTTGCTTTTTGTTGATTTTGAGAAGCGAATCGCTCAAGCTAAGGGACCAAAGGCGGCCAAGGGACGATTCGGAAACCACGAACCTTGACCTTGGTCCCGACACAAATCACAACCCCGCTACTAGTAGCAAGTGCATCGCTACTAGTAACAAGGGCATTATTACTAGTAACAAGAAGCTACCTATTTGTTACTAGTAGTAATGCCCTTGTTACCATGCTAGTACAGAATCCTTCGGAACCCCAGAATGGAACACAGGCGCAACTCTTTTGAATGCATTCCAAGCTGCCATTTCATCGTTCCGGCCCAAGTAGAGCAACTCACTGGAAGGCAGCCACATGACCAAGTCTCCAGTCTTGTACATCCTTTTGCCGTTCAAAGGGTTGGGTACAAACTTTTCAGCGGTTCTGACGGGATCTCGGTAGTAGCCACGCGCCAATTGATCACCTCCTAGGCAAAGCTCTCCGGGTGCCCCAATTGGTTGCAGTGCTTTACACCTCGTGGCTTCAAAGACATAACATTGAACACCCATCACAGGCCGACCGATGGGCACATGTTGCGTCGCTCGTTCCCTCCCTTCCGAAAGGGAACTTCGTCGATCAATGTCATCGGCTCCACCTTCCACTTCGATGATGAAGGAACTCAGCCTGCTCAGCTCCCTTCCATCAAGCTCAGCCCAAGTGGAGACCACAGTGTTCTCCGATGGACCATAAGCATTCACCAAGTGCCGGCCACGGGCCCATGTGTCCACCAAGCTAGGTGGACATGACCTAAGACATCGACGGCTGGAGAGTCAAAGCGATTCCTTTCACAAAGCGAGAGAGAGAGTTTTGGCCCCATTCTCCATGCCAATTGAGAAACAGTGGGGACAATTGGGACAATATAGTCTCAGAACGTAGCCTTATGCCACTTGCTAGTGTGATGAATTAGAGCTGTCCTCTATTAATCGGCCCCAAGCTGGGCAAATTGCTGGGTCACGCTGTGAGCAACCCAAACCAGCAAATCAACACCCGCAGTACATGATGCTGAGGCATTTCGTCACCTAGCCGCCCTCGTGAACTACTAGACTTCACAAGAATTAAAACCAACAGAACGCAAGGAATTTAAATTAAGAACTGCCGAAATGTATAGAACCCAGCTTTTCAGCCAAAGAACTCAGCGGCCACAGCCAGCTTCTGCAGCTTCGGCAGCTGCAGGGGCGACAGCACAGAGAGCGCCGAAGGCGTCAATGTTGCACAAGTGACACCGAAGGTTTTCAGGGCCTCAATGCGATCAACACGGTTGGAAAAAGCAGCAAAAACGAGTGGCTCAAACACGGTCGGTCTGTGTGTGTACATGTTTCTTGAACCTGACAACTTCCAAGAACGCTGTTCAACCCCAATGCATGGAAACACACACACTCTGACATTGGTTTTCTGTTATTCAATTCCCAAGTGAAAGGAAGGCGAGGGAACGGCAAAGTGAGGAAGTCGGTTGTTCACTTGAAATGTTTAACAAGCTGTTTATGCGTGACTGCAGGACGATCAGCGCGGCGGCGCATCAGCGGTGGAAAAAGGGTTTGGGGGGAGTAGCGTAGGAAACTGGCCAAGTTTCCCTTCCCACTCTTACCCACAGCTTCGTTGCGTGTGATAGGATAAGAGTGTCACACGCCCCTGCTTGAAAAATGAATCCGATGTGAAAGGCCCTTAGGAACAGGGTTTGACACACACTCTGACATTGGTTTGCTGATAACTCAATTCCCACGATGAGAAGGAAGGCGAGGGAACAGAAAGGTGAAAGAGTCGGCGATAACAGTATGGTTTAACCGTGTTTTCAGTGGCGCTCGAAAACGATCGGACACTCTGTGCGGCCGCAAGTCTGCTGCAAGTCTGCGGTGGGAAAAAGGTTTGGGGGTGGTAGCATGAAGAACCATGGAAACAAACAAGGCAAATTAGACAGCGTGGTCATAAGTTCAGGTAGCAGGTACACGGAAGTGATCAGCTTCCGCTTCCTAGGATCTTGCAAAGAGCTTCGTTGGGCAGAGCTTTGCAAGTCCTCTCTGCCCCCCTGCTGATCAAGTTGAGAAATGACAGGTAGCACCCTTTGGAACAGGGGTTGGACGGTGCCGCTTTGCGGCGCTCGTGCGAAGGACCTGAATAGTTACCTAAAAAGCCTTAGAAACAAAAGAAAGAAACACAGAAAGAGCAGCGCTAAGAGGGCAAGAGAGAAAGATAGGCGTAGAAAAAATGAAAAATGAATACTTAGCCCTTGACTGGGGTAGGGAAACAAACCTCAAGAACAACCCTAAAAGCCTGAGAGAAAGCCCAACAAACGACAAAAAGCGCAAGAAGGAAAGGGGGGGGGGAGGGAGGGGGTGTATGTCCATGTGTGTACGTGTGTGTGTCTGAATACTTAGCACTCTAGGGTTACTGACTACTTAGCAGAAACGAATTACAGTGCAATAGTTAGAAAACGCGGTTAAACCATACTGTTATCGCCGACTCTTTCACCTTTCTGTTCCCTCGCCTTCCTTCTCATCGTGGGAATTGAATTAACAGCAAACCAATGTCAGAGTGTGACCCGCTCAGCCGTCCCACTTGGGTGCTGGGTGTGATCCTCCGCAAGGAGGCGCTGCTATCATTCCGGAAATCGTGCAACTGCTTTCTTTCGGGAAATCTCACCAACCAGAATCCACGTGAATGTTCTCAACAACCCTGAATTCTCTGCCTTTAGAGCCGCCGGGCTTTTACGGATATGACAGCCGCCGGGCTTAAAAACGGAATTCACCCCATTTGAGGCAGGTTTCCCAACCCCCCCCCACCGTGTTCTACTCCCGCACTCGAAAACGATCGGACACTCTGTGCGGCCGCAAGTCTGCTGCAAGTCTGCGGTGGGAAAAAGATTTGGGGGCGGTAGCATGAAGAACCATGGAAACAAACAAGGCAAATTAGACAGCGTGGTCAAAAGTTCAGGTAGCAGGTACACGGAAGTGATCAGCTTCCGCTTCCTAGGATCTTGCAAAGAGCTTCGTTGGGCAGAGCTTTGCAAGTCCTCTCTGCCCCCCTGGTGATCAAGTTGAGAAATGACAGGTAGCACCCTTTGGAACAGGGGTTGACACACACACAGACACACGGCGCCGCTTTGCGGCGCTCGTGCGAAGGACCTGAATAGTTACCTAAAAAGCCTTAGAAACAAAAGGAAGAAACACAGAAAGAGCAGCGCTAAGAGGGCAAGAGAGAAAGGTAGGAGTAGAAAAAAGTGAATACTTAGCCCTTGACTGGGGTAGGGAAACGAGCCTCAAGAGCAACCTAAAAAGCCTGAGAGAAAGCCCAAGAAACGACCAAAAGCGCAAGAAAGAAAGTGGGGGGGCAGGGAGGTGTATGTACATGTGTGTGTCCGTGTGTGTGTGTGTGTAAGAATACTATAATACTTAGCACTCTAGAATTACTGATTACTTAGCGGAAGTGAATTACATGCAACAGCTAGGGAGCGGGACTTTAGTCTTAGACCGCCCGGGTAGAGAAGACTAGAAAAGGGACAACAGAGGGAAAGGCACCGACACACGAGTGTGTCGAGTACCATTTCCCTCTGTTACCCTAATTAGTGGGTGGGAGGGGTTGGGGTGTTTGGGGTAGAAACCGCGTCGGGGTTCATTCTCCGTACAAGCCCGGCGGCTGTAGAACTCAAATGGTTTTATCCGTATAAGCCCGGCGGCTCTTGGAGCAGTTGATCCAGTGGTGAAAAGGAGCCAGTTAAGAAAATCCAAGGAAAGAAGGATCCGAAAAGTCTGTTACACGATTTCCAGCGCGACTTCAGCGCCCCAGTGACGGGGATCACGCCCAGCACCCAAGTGGGACGGCTGAGCGGTTCACACTCTGACATTGGTTTTCTGTTATTCAATTCCCAAGTGAAAGGAAGGCGAGGGAACGGCAAGGTGAGGAAGTCGGTTCACTTGAAATGTTTAACAAGCTGTTTATGCGTGACTGCAGGACGATCAGCGCGGCGGCGCATCAGCGGTGGAAAAAGGGTTTGGGGGGAGTAGCGTAGGAAACTGGCCAAGTTTCCCTTCCCACTCTTACCCACAACTTCGTTGCGTGTGATAGGATAAGAGTGTCACACGCCCCTGCTTGAAAAATGAATCCGATGTGAAAAGCCCTTAGGAACAGGGTTTGACACACACACACACACGCAAACTTGCCCTGATACAGGAAAATGTGTCTTTCCAACTCCCCTGCCAGTTCATGTTTCAGTCAGCATTGTCACTTTGAGCGCTGAACCATTGTAAGTCAATCCCTTATCTGATTTAATCCCCCCAGCAGTACGCAAGCCTTGCCTGAGCAAAGCCGGTATCTTCGCCCCAAAGCACAAGACACGCACCTGGCCAAGGCAAGGCCGTCAAACGAATCATCCCAACCAAGCTTGCGTGATCCAGGGCGCTTGGGGCGGAGGCTGCGTTCGTCATAAAGCCTTTTATTCTTTGGGGGCGGTAATTTGCTCAGCCATTTAAGAGAACCAATTACCGTTTACAGTCCCGCTTCCGTTGGACATCAACACCCGCAACTATTCTTGACGGCTTTGGGCGCCACGTGGATCCCATGGACATCGCTTTGCGCGGTGTGCATTCTCTGGTCAGCCTAATGCTCCTGCAGCTTGCCGGCTTTGGGGGCGGAGGCCCGGCCCGGCCCCTTCCTTCCTCCCTTCCCTTCCCTTCCCTTCCCTCCCCTCCCCTCCCCTCCCCCTCCCCCTCCCCCTCTCCCTCTCCCTCCCCCTCCCCTTCCCCCTCCCCTTCCCTTCCCTTCCCTCCTTCCTTCCTTTCTTCCTTCCTTCCTTCCTTCCTTCCTTCAAGACTGCCAATCTGCATGCCAGCGATATCACGGATGTATTTCGCCGCACCGCCAATCATCCGGCTCCCCAGCGACACGTCACGGACGCACTTTCCGCGCCATCTGCGTCGCAGAAGTAATTTCGATTTTTCTGCGCTGCAGAGCCACCACGCCGCCACACATGGCTCAAAGTTAGCCAGTTCGGAGCCCAGCTCCCACAGGCCACTACTCGCATACATGCCGCCACTACAAAGGTGCCAGTCCTAAGCACAAACCGTTCATCCCCTATTAGATTTTCGACAACAGGCACACACTTTGACAACAACTCGACACGGGCGGTCTCCGCAAAGGGTTCACCAAGGACGCAAAGCAATGCGTTGCATCCACACCAGAATACCAGAAGGCCAAAATAAGAAACTTGAAATTGCGCGAGTTCTGAGCAGCCAATAGGGACGCATGCCCAACAAACCGCGCGCTCCTTTTTGGCCTAAGCCCGCGGTCTTGTAAGCGGCAGCGGCGGTTCAAAGCAAATTGCCAAGTTGTGGTCAACACAACAAGCTCAACGTCCTAGACATTCACACAGACCCGCAAATGTCGTGTAGACCGCCGCTAAAATTCAACTCGCCGCGCTGTAGAAGCGCTGAAAAGTGGCAGCCCTGGGACTGCTGGATGTGCTTCACACTCACTACAAAGCTGCCTTATGCATGGCGTATTGCGTCTCCGTGGCCGCGCCACGCGCGTGTCTTCTGTACTTCCCGCCGCGCTTTTGACCAGGTGGTAGTAAAAGGGCTTTGAGTCCACAAGGCGCAGCGGCGCAGCCCTTTTTGCAAGCGCTCTTCCATAGCGCAGCCTTCTCTTCTGGATCCTTGACCCCTCCTTGTCACCATTGAAGTTCGAATCCTGGTTGAATGAATTCGTTGTGTGCGTTAGTCGTCTAAGCTAACTTTTGAAGCCCGCGGCAGCCAAGGTCGACTCACTATATACTCTGTGCATTCATCCTGATCTCCAGTGACGACGGCTCCCCCAGCGCACGCCAACTCCTTATCGCCGAGCGCTGCGAATCCTCCTTGACGTCCTGCTTCCCAGGATGCATCTTTGACCGCCCCGAAGCACATTCTATCTTCCTCACTGGGTTGCATCTGTGCGGCCAGCTCTGCCTTCTCGTTAATTTCTCGAACGGTCCCGTTCAAGTCTTACGTCATGGATCTTGAGGTTGTTCGCAAGAGCTTCATGGTTGAACCAGGGTTGGAGCAAGAAGGGTGCGTGGATTGGTGAGGGCGGCTTAGATCAAACCTTCGAGGAGTCAGAGCTTCAAGATGCACTGGCGACTTATCAGGAGGTGAGGAAGGCTTTGCAAGCTCCCAAGACCCATCAACACTGTGCCTGGACCAGGAGGAAGGGAGGAAGGGAGACCAAGCCAGTGCTAAACGTGATAGTGGGGCGCAGCTGCTGGAACCCTTTCTGAGATGAGTTTCCACCAGCCAGATGCCGGATAGATCAAGGGCGAAAGTTCCTTGGAGACCTTGCCACCAAGTGCATCAGAGCTCGGCACTCTAGGACGACAAGGGGAACTTACTATGCGTACTGAAGCCCGAGAAGAGGGCAGACAATCCCCGGCACCAGGGAAAATCTCTGGACGGCAGCGCTGGAAGCAACGGAAGAAGAACAAGGCATTGGACCTCTGCCTGAAAGACTGAAGGAAGAATTTGAAGAAAGATGTGCTCCCCGACAAAGGTCAAACACTGAAGAGTCAGGAGGTGCGATGGAGGAACATCGAATCAGGGCAGTTGAGGCGCCAAATGCATTGAAGTCAAGAAGAGAAGGCTGGGAGATGAGGAGGCGCAAGACTTCTGGCTGATCGACGCGGGCCAGAAGATTGATCGCAAAGCACCAGGTGGAGAGGTCCATCAGCTGCACCAGGAAGATTACACCGTTAAACTACCGATTTTGAATGGGTCCGAAAGTCAAATCAATTTAGGGCAAGCTCAGTAATGTCCAAAGGCAATTGGAGGGCAAGAAAAGGAGATTGGGAAGGGCCAGCGCACTGTTGGAGTGGATACAGAGAACACCACACCAAAGGCAAAGCCGATGTGGCAGAAGAACTGATCCTTGGCCGGTGAAGAATGGCGAAGAAGGGAAGGTCAGGTGCAAAGCGGAGGAGCTCTCAAAGGCTTGCGCATCTAAGAATCTGCAGAAGTTGACAGACAGCTAAGGAAGCAGGAACTAAGAGCAGGAAGAATTCTTCCATCACGAATTGCACAGCGATTGACAAGCCCCAACTATAGGAAGTCCAGGTATTGCGTGAGAGAAGATAGAGACCCCGATCCCCACTCAATCGATGCGGGCCCACAGTGACGACGGCAGTGATCTTGCCACGCAGGTGGTGAAAGACTTCATCAGAGTGAAGAATGCGCTTGCGCAGTTGGATCCCGTGGTGAGGGGGCAAGGAAGGACCTTCTGTGATTGAAATCGCTCCTGCTCATTGGCGAAATTTTGCGAAATGTTGTCCTTGAGTTGGGTTATATCCAATCGGCAATGGGCCCGTGCACCTTCAAGTGTGAGCCCAGTAGGAGAATTGCACGGAATATCACGGAATCATGTTGGAAGTCGACGCTCTCCTATGTTTTGGAAAGAAGAAGCTGGATGAGCTGAGGATGAGATTCAACATTGGAAAGTTCGTGGGCTTGGCCTCACAACCAGAAAGGGCCTCCTTAAATGGAAGGATGTTCAGGGCGCAAGAGCGGGAAGAGGCCCTACCATGGATGTTGAAGTATTTCTCAGACATTCTCAGAACGCTTGGAAGAGGATGCAGCCACAAAAGACTAGACGGATGCAGCCAGAAGTTAGCTTTAACTTGGGGCCACCTATGAATGCTGGATGTCTGCCGCCGTCCTTTTTGGTGGCAACCTTCTCTGGTCTCGTCAACGCCTTGACAACCTCATCTCTATGATACCGGCCGCCTGCCCAAGTGGTCAGCTGATCCTCCCAAACCTGTGTCAGATTCGCGTGCTGGAAAAGGACACATGCACCCATGCGAATCACATAGTCCTGCAAAGGCTCTTTCCCTCTTCGACCGTCGCCAGCTTCGGCGTGCGGAGCAAAATTTTCACGAAGTCTTTGAACAATGGCTTCAGCGCCTTCTTCGCTCAGCGGCTTGTTCATTGGCACCTCGTCTGGGGCAGCCCTGGCTGCTCCAAACAATTGCCCGATGAGCTTCACTCCGTGTTTTTCTTTCGCAATCTCCGTCTCAAACTGCCACAGCTACCAGTCCAATGCAGCGCTTAAACTGCTCTGGATCACTGCGGTGAAAGCGACGCTTCCTGACACCCTACACAAACAAAGGAAGTTTATAGCCTAAGGTCCTGGAGCTCGGAGCAGCTTCGCTAAGACCGCGAAAATGTGAAGTTGTGGTCAACACAACAGTAACAAGCTCGACGTCCAAGATGTTCACAAATATAGATAGATCGATATGACACATACACTAAAACATTTGGTTGGCGGAGCCTGCGCAGAAAGTACTTAAATATTCTTGCACTGCTCCGTCAAAGGCCGGCTTGAAGAACTGCAGCGCGCGATCTTCTCTCGAAATCTTCATCAAAGCTATCTGCTCCCGGGCCATGTTAGCTGCTGCGCGATGCTCGACTGCCACTCCTTTGGGTTTCCCAGTTGATCCAGAGGTATAAATCACGTATGCCAGGTGCAAAGGTGGAGCTTGCTCAATGTGCTCCACAGAGATCGAACTCGAAATCGGCCATTCTTGGGTGCTCCAAACCTCCAGGTTGCCACAGAAATGCCGTTGAGCCTCCCTGCACATCACCAACTTGGGTTGGGCATTCTCCAAAATATGCTTAATGCGTTCCAAAGGATATTCTGGATCAATCGGTACATAGGCAGCTCCTGCACCAAGAGTAGCCCATATGGCCTCGAAAGCACAGCTGAGCTGGCAAACTATGACATGAGGACAACTTCTCAGCAAACACTTTTGGAAGAGTGTAGAAGCTGTAGAAGCTACTAGGGCCTTACTAGGAGCAAGAAGCTAGTAGCAAAGAGCATTTCTACTAGTAACAAGGACGCTATTAGGCTCTTGGGCTCTGACCACGGCCAGGTCCACCGAGCGGGCCAGCAACAAACCCACCAGCAAGGACTCGCCAAACGCTTGGCCGAGCTTCAACTTTAAGGCCTTGCAATTGGGCCGAAGGAGAAATTAACCTTTTTGGTATGGGGGGCCACTAGGGTGAGCAAACAAGCAAAATCACCAAGTCTGTTCTCTGGCCCACTTTTTCAATGCAAGCAGCACTCTGAGGATGAGGCTGCTGCAAGAGCAGTGACTTGTGTACCGAACTCTTCATAGGTCACCGTGCGGTCCTAACCAGGACCGTTAAGAGCGAACGATGAATGAATCAATCAAGGAATCAATCAATGAGCATCTCGCATCAACCAGAATCGCAGGTTCGTGCCGACATTGAAGCAACTGCATCTGGAAAGTCTGGCAGTGCAAACAATGCCAAGCGAAAAGCCAAGACTTGCCCTGTGCCACAATGCAATGTGCAATCCGGGCCTTGATCAAAGGCGTCGGTGAAATGGATGGCTTGTTATGGCCTCCCCATTCCAAGATACATGTGCGCTCGCTGGTAGAGGTGACCTGAAACGAAAGCATCCCAACGTTGCAGAATATGAAGCTGTGCGACGGGCGCATAGGATCTAGTTACTATTTGCCACTACTATTGGATCCAAAAACATGCTTTCCACATGTCCTTTTTTGAGCAGCACTTACTTTGCTTTGAGCAATATTTGTAAGCACTAGTTTCAACCAGCGACCAGCCCGACTAGACAAGCTAGAATCCTAGAATGTTCCGGGGTCTGCCGTTCTGTACACCAGGTGACCTTTCAGCGATGCTCAAGTATCTCCTCGTTCACGCCATGTGATTTCATCAAGTGGCTGGTAGGGTAAGGAGATCGGCAGCTGGTTCTTCAGCGATGGCAGTAGCCAGCGCCTCGAAGTACTGCAACATGCACGTACTGCATATACTGCATGGCTCAAAACAAATCAAAAACGGTATGAAGCGGACAGGAAAACCTTCCTATTCAGATACAAGCGAAAACATCGCCGGCCAGCGGCTCAAACACCCTTGCAAAGGTCGAGCAGAAATCAAAAACAAACCGTACACCATGAGCGTATCTGACCTGAAAAGCTTGTGCAAATCGCTCTGCTCGTTGTAAGGTCCAAAGGTGTTTGTTGTAGACCTGGCGGGGCCAAAGAGTGAAAACGCCAAGAGTGCAACAAAAAGCCTTGAAAAGAGAAACGATGCCCTTGTTACTAGGCTTGACAAGACCACATAAATTTGTTCAGTTCTTTTTGGAGAGAAAAACTGAAAGACAAGAAAGCGTCGAAAGCGGACATCCGTTGCAAAAGGCCAGAAGCTCGATGAAACCCTGTAGGCCGCCACTCGTGCCAGGCATTTCCTCGATTTCCCCGTCTCTTTTAAACATGATGTGTTTGATGGTCTTTTCTTCTTTTTTAAAACGAGTTCGTTCAAGCTTTCACGTCCTGCATCTCGCAGGTGACGTCGAATAAAGCTGCAGTTCGCTCCAACTCAACTTGCTCCACACGCAGGCCCTAGCAGCTTGATGCTACTAGGATCTACTAGGAACAAACAGCATCGCTACTAGGAGCAAGGACGCTACTAGGGGCTCCTGGCATTACTACTAGGAGCAATGTTCGCTACTAGGAACAAAGGGCCTTACTACTAGGAACAAGAAAGCTAGCAGAGACAATAAGCTACTAGGAACAAGTGCATCGCTTCTAGTAACAAGTGCATCGCTACTAGGAACAAGAAGCAGCAAAAGACTGGCTCTGGGCTGGGTGGGGTCTTTCGATCTCTGCGAACCTGCCTCCATACTCCAAGACATCTCATCTTTGTCCTGTGAACTTCGTCGAAAAATACATTGAACACCATAAAGCAGCATCAAAAAAACGTAAATTGTCATAAACAAACAACAACTGCTTCAGGGAAACCGTCCTGCAAAACAAACATGGCAGGAATGGCTGCGGCATCCAGCTGTGCTGCCTGCTTCTTAGTGCTCTGTGTCTTATCCATCAGAGACCCTAGGTCCTTGGGAAATTGTACGCAAAAAAGTAGAACAAAACTAGGTTTTCTTCAAAAGTTCAGAAGTCAAGAAGTTCAGGTTGTCTTACAAATTGCATTTTAGAATGCTTTAAGCGTGCGTCTGATCACGTTCCACTTCTTGCCTCGAGGACCACTGCGTATGGCACCTGCAATGTAGTCTTGGAGCATCACAACATCATCCCACAAAAAACACTTATTGGCAAGTTGACAGCTGTCAACTTATGCTGGATAGAGTTGCTCAAAACAGCAAACAAACGAGAGAACCAACCAAACAACCTCGAGAAGACACTACAATATAGGTCGGGCAATGCTGTTAATTGAGTTTGACTCAATTTCCTTAATTCATACCACAAGTAATTTGTCATAGTGGTCAGCTGATGCCGTGACGAGCCCCACTCGCTCAGCCTGTTTCTGAAATTAGCACCTCTACCGGCATAACCAGGTGGATAATTCACTACGCTTTGTCCATCTTTGTCCCGTTTGCGGACATGCTCGCCGCTAAGCCGATGGCGCAGTGAAATTGACATATCAACATCATGGCTTCCCAAAACTCACATCGTTATTCAGTCCGCGGCGCTGACGCATGTTTAAAGGCGCCCAGCACGACATCCCTCAAACGCATCAACAGCTCCTTCCAACAGGGCATGGAAAGTTGAAATACCATGGAAAAACAGGAAGGGACGCTACTAGGGGCTCCTGGCCTGAGCAAGGACGCTACTAGGAACAAAGGGCATGAAGCTACTAGGATCAAAGCAGGAAAGGTTCTTCAGAAAATCCCGTATCCCGCCGACCCCGGCCGAAGGCGGAGGAACACATAATATCTTTCGTTTCGAGGTTCCTATGGGCTTTATGTTGCCTTCTTTCGTTGTTGGTTTCTAGGGGCTGTTCGTTCTTTGCATTGAACTAGAAAGCTTAAAACCATTCCGAAAGGTTTGTTTAAAAAACATTGCTCTAAAGGCTGCAGCGTGCTCTAGCCTAAGCTGCGCTCCCAATAAAGCAACAGATCGCGGGGAGGCAAACTATGCCTAAAGCCGCTTCGGAGCGACTTTGGAATACCTGATTTTGGATTGGAATGCAAAATGTTTCAATAGCCATCAAATGTGTAATTTTCACGCTTTCCGGGTCGGCGGCGCGACCTAAAACCGGGCCAGCATCAAAGGCACTTCACATTCGGTTTGCTAAAGGCTTGATTCTCGGGGCGTTGCACCGTTGCGGTGGATGCAAATGGTGTTCGTTCTTTTAAAGCCTTCAGAAAGATGACGTTTTTGCTAAAGAAGGCGCGTTATGCGGCCCGGGAGCGATCGCATGATTGTCCCTGTTGGCATCGGCTTCCGTGTCAGGCCCCCCCCCCCAATGGCTCTCAATGACTGCCTGGTGCCGGTATGCAGTTGGTGCTGCTGCTTTGTCTCCCAACATGTCTTCCCTTTTGTGTGCCTGTGACACCGTGATGGCCGTTTGGTTTCCCGCCGCTGCATCACTGCTGCCTTGTCTCCCCCACTTGTCTCGTTGCATGTCTCCCCACTTGTCTGCCTGTGTGATCAGCGTTTTGGTTCGCCGCTGCTGCCTTGCCTCTTTACATGTCTCCCCAATTGTCTCAAGGAAGAACATGTGTTTCTTGTTGGGTCAGTTAGCTATTTGGTGTCAAGGAGGACGAACCAAAAAACCGTTTACCCTCAAAACGTGCTTCATCATTTCATTTTTCACCTCTTGCCACATCCTTGCGTCTTTCCTTTTTCACCTTCCACGCAATCTTTTTCATCCTCTTGTCCTTCTTTTGTTCCACAATCCCTTCTTTTTCATCCTCCACCGCCTCCACTGTTTTAGAAACTCCCCACATCCCTGCTGCTTTCCACCATTCCCAGCAATGGCCCCGCAATGCCAACTGCTGGAAGAATTTCCAACTTGTGCACAGAGAAGCTGGACGGGGTTTGGGGGGGAAAGGCGCAGTGTCTCCCCCCTAAAGCGCGCCAACCGTTTGTCGCTTGCGCATCTTTTTTACCTTGCCCCCCTTGAGTTGCGTGCATGTTTTGAGGTTGCTGCTGTACGCTGTCTGACGCTTGCCCCCGAACCAGCTGTAAGAATTGGCCCCTGGAAGGTGGAGAGAACAACTGTTGAAGTACAGTTTACTTATGGGCGGACCAATGGGTAAATGGCCTCGATTTGAATTTCAATACACTTCTCGGTTTGAATAGCTTATACGACGAATCCAGTGGCCACAGTGGTCAGCCTGAGCGACTTGGCTTGCGCGGCTTTCCGCGTCAGCTCGTGAACTGCCAGCTGTCATACATGACTGAGCATGGAGAGCGTCAAGGGACCGAAGCACCAAGGTTTTTGGTTCAGATCTTCTATGGTGATCCTGTTCTGGCGCTCGAATTCGGATTTTTACGAGCATGGTGAACATGATTGTGAAATTTCCCTTGAGGCAAAATTTGATGGTCCATACTGATTTTGAGGCAGATTTACTTCGCGCTTCATGGCAGTAAGGAATCTTTATCAAGCAACGAAAAACTGATGATCATAAAGATGGGTGTACTCTAGAAGGAGTTCTCTGCATGGCGCAGCATGCTTCAGTCTTGGTTATGAACCTCGATTTGCGCTTCGCTTTCCAGATCTCAAAAAACTACTGACCCGCACGCCAAAGAAGTCAAGGCTGAAGCAAATGTGCAAGCTGGTCGGTGGCAGGTTACAGGAACCCATCCTTTCGTTGGCTTGCATGGTGCTTTGCACTTCTTTCTCAACCAAGGCTGGCCGGATTGTGAAGTAATCCCAAGTACCTATTTAAAAGGACCCCTGTTTAAATAGAATCACGTCGGAAACCACTAAATACGGTTTATATGTGTTTTTAGATTACTGCTCTTTAAAGCCCGCTACTAGACTACCAACATGGTCGAATTTGGTGTATTTTTGAAGGTATTGGGTTCAAGAAGTTCTGAAAACAACCCCAGCTGCCCACCTCTGCCCACCCTGTTTGTCCACCATGACGCGCCGCGTTTACACTCACGCAAACGCACTTGCCACCGAGGCCGCGCAAAACGGCATGGCACAGCGACATCACCTTGCGAATGCTTTAGTTGTTAGTCAAAAATTTTTGTCAAGGGAAAAGGAAAACCTTTCTATCTGGAGTTTTTTCAATTTTGACACGAGTTTACTGAAGGATTTTGTACAAAGCTTTCCTGGTTGACTTTTCGATCTTGAATCTCTCCCCAGGTGTCTGCACGAAATCCGCGCTTCAAGCTTCACAAAGCGCTGTGCCTGCCAGGACATCTGCACGTCATATGTAATCAATGATTGTTCAATGGATCCTCCCACTGACCCTATTTTGGACAACCCTGATTACAGGGCCCCCCTTTTGGGGCCCTTTTGAGTTTTTGTTAACTCTCGGGGGCCCGTGTTCTTTAATAGGTGGAGGGGACAACTCTACCTAGGTGAAAATAACATGTCCTTCCAAGCTTCCGGGTCGGACATTGTTCCGACAAGCTCTAGCCCAGAGCGTCCCTGGGAATTTCCAGTGTTAAGTTGCTTGAGTTTAGTGTTTTTGCTCGCAAGAAGTGTTTTGCACCAATGTTATTTGGAAAAAATGAAAGAAGTGTTTTGGTGTTTCCGTGGCCAAGTCTTAAAACACTTGCACAACCAACAACCATTCGACCCTTCTTCTCACCCTCAATACCTTGAAACACTACAGCCATCAGTCACAAATTCCCAAAGCGCAAGCACCAAATGCCGTTTTTTTAACAAAAAAATGCAAGCAGTCTCACTGATCCAAAGATCAGCTCTTCTTGAACAGCTTTCGCAGGTCTTCAAACAAACTTCCTACAAAGTGTTTACAAAGTTTTGGATCTTTACAAAAATTTGACAAAGTTTGGGAATTACATTGTTTTACCGAGTTTTTGCATTGCAAAGCTTTAACAAAGTCTACAAAGTTTAAACATAGAAATAACAAACTTCACAAAGTTTTGGAAACTTACAGTACATTGAATTTTACAAAACTTTGGAACTACGAAGTTTTTTACAA